ATTTTCTGTGATAATAATTGATACTTTAACATCCTCATTTCTTGGTAGTAATGGACATGGTGGTGCTCGAAATGAGAGTATTTTTCGATCAAAAGATTTAATATCATAAGCAGGTAGTTGTCCACATGAACCAAAATCAAATACAATCGAATATTCTTTAAAAAAATGTGATTAGTGAATGAGAAGAAGAATGTAATAAAACAAACCTTTTTGTTTGATAAGATATGGCATAATAATTAATATTTGATCACCACCTTGCCAATCAGCTTTTTGTGGTATACATTGAATTGTTCTAATAAATGTATCGGCTGCATGAATCATAAATGATTCTTGAAAGAAAAAGAAAAAGTGAAGTTCTGATAATGCTTATTGATTAATATTTACTTTGTGTATCATTTGCAATGTCAGTCATAATTTGTGATACCACTGATGTATATGGCACTGAAACAGGAATTGGATTGTTATCAAAACGTTCAGCAATAGTAAAAATTAACTGAGATTTTTTCAGTTGATAAGTATCAATGATATCTTTAGGATCGTTTGGTTGTTGAAAATGTTGATTAACATGTTGATCTAAAATCAATAAATGATTTAATTATTCATCTATAGTTTGTTACTATTACTAAATAAGCGCATAGGTCCATATGATTTCAATTCATCTTTTTTCTTCTTTTCTACAATAAGATGAATACTAAAATATACAAAAATATTTTAAATTTCATCAAAATAACAATGACTTAATTTATACCTTCTTTCACCTGTATTTATCTCTTTCTCATTTATACGAAAATAAAGCGAATTCTCCAATGAATTTTCAATAGCACTATTATCTGATGTAGAAATTTGATACGGATGAATATAATGTTGAGATACTGTGTTACTGATTACAGTAACTAGTGTAACTCGAATATATAATTGTCGATTTGATTGATACCATTGTGTTGGAATCTATTTCACAAAAATATATATATACGTATTATTTGTATTATGTGAATATGATGTATCAAAGTCATGACCTTGTTATATACTTTTCTTCCTATTCTATTCGATATATACTCTATTTATTTGCTAGAATGTTATCATCTTAGTCAGATTATTTTTTGATAAAGATAAGTACCTTAACTGTTGGATACATATACTTTGGATTCTTGCTTTCACTACGAATAAAACGTTGTACTGGATTCTTTTGTTTACTAATTTCACTGGAATATCGTCCACGATAAAATGCTTTTGGTTCAGCAATAATATGAAGTGTTTCATTTTCATATTGATGTGTTTGAGTTTCAGCCAACCCAACATTCGGTAGATCAGGTACAGAATATTCAGCACTTAGCGGAGAAAGATACGTATCAATACCCTCAAAAAAATTCTCCAGTCCATCGATGAAAACATTGTCAATATCAGATAGTAGCGATTCTGAAGAGTTTAAACCATATGTAGGATCAAGATTATCTATATGTGTGCATATAAATATCAAAATAGAAAAAAGGAAATTGATAACATAATTTCGTATACGTACATAAATCAGTAATATTAGATGAATCTTAATAATAAAAAGTACTCAAAAAAACTTATATTTTTCTTTTTTTGAAGAAAAACTTACTGGATAGTTCTTCTACCACTTCTAGTGATTGTAAAGAATGTAGCTGAGTTTGACCGTTGGCTTAAATAAAAAGAAATATAATGAAGTAATTTCTCTTTTGGTAACTATTTATACTATATTCATTTGAATTTGCCATTTGATGAATAGTTCCAATTTTATATCTAGTTGATATGTTAAGAGAATGAATATATTTCCGTCTTTTATATGGTGGGAATTTATATTAACGTACTGCGTATCTATGTTTGTAACACTGAATGACGTGGAAAAACTTTTCCCATACAGAACGGAAGAAAAAAATACAGTACACAAGATAAAAAATACTCTCATGGCGTCATATGATAATAAAAGGTTCTAAATACAAAATAGACGTCTAAACTATATATATATAAGATATGACCGACATATTATAGAATACATGTACGTCGAGTAGATAAATACAAAAACAACAATATATTCTTTACAACACGTACGACAAATCATAAAATAATATCATATATTTATAAAATTCATTATGCTAATAGTGAGTAATATCATCACTTGAATTACTTTTATTAATATAATGACCATTTCTAAACGATAAGCATCTTTTCTTTTAAATTCTTCTATTATTAACCAATTTCTTTTCATAACAAATATAATGTTTATATGTTATTATTCTAGCCAGAAAGAAATATAGTACCTAATTGTAATCATTTATTGAGAATTTTGTTCAACTGTCACATAGGTACGACTTCATTTTTTTGTATCAGTATTTGCAACTATATATATAAAACAAAAACATTACTTGTACTCTATTCAAATCTATATTATTTACTTCGATTCTTGATTAAAACAAGCTAAAGGTTACTTGTTTCATGTTACATGTCTATGACTTTCAAGGTTATTACATTATATTTATGTGAAATCAACACATACACAAAAAAAAACAACAAACAAAATAAAAACATGGAAGTTACCAACTAAATACGATAAAAATGATTTTCTTGTTTGCAACAAAAATTCACAGGGTTAACACAACTAAGATGTTACATTAAAACTAAAACAATTTGTATAATCAAATTCGCTATGCATATAAAGATCTAATTATATAAATTGTTTCAGTATTTATTTCAAGTTTATGAACATGAAGAAGAAATTTAATCATCGTCGTCAGATGATGAACTAGTATCTTCTGAAATTTGTGGTGGTGGATATTTGACATTTAAATATTGAGCTATATCATGACGTTCAAGCGATTGCGCTAATTCACTTGATGTCATTGTTAAATTACTTTGATTACCTAATTGATCTAATTCACCATCTTCAATTAGATATTTAACCATTTCTAAATCACCAAAACGAACAGCAAGATGAATAAGATTATCACAGAAACGTTTTTGTGTTTCATATACATTTGTTTTGAAATATTTTAAAAGATGTTTTGTTAATAATAGGTTGTTTTTTATAATGCATAGTTGTATTGGCGTTCGATGATCTTGATTATAATGATCGAATTTTTCTTGAATAGGAATTGTCTTTTTAAGGAGATAATTAATTATGAAATCACATAGTTCTACTGATATTGAATCCGATGCAATTATATGGAAAATATTATTATTTTTTTCATCCTTATTATAAATAAGTGCTTCGGCATTTTCTTTTTCCAATAAAACTTTCACAATCTCAACATAATTGAGACGTATAGCATAAAGAAGAACATTTTCTCCAGTTTTATTCTTTTCTTGAAGCATATCGATTGTAGCAATTGGAATAAATTTTAATAACAGATCACGATGACCATTGGTAACAGCATCATGCAGTAATTGAGGTTTTTTCTTAATGAATGTACGACATATACGAAGTAATTGTGTATAATCATTCTTTTGAAATAATGATTCAACACTTTTAGAGAGTATATCCATAAATTTGTCATTATAGTTTCCATTTATTGGAGCATTAGATGTTGATGGCAAAGAAGCTAAAGTATTGAAAAAATAAATAAATAAAACAATTGAAAAGTAACGATGTATCTAATTTATAGATATCTGAACGATCATCACTAATGCACATCGAAATAATACTAATTGAAATTTTTGACACAAATAGAAATCCTTATCTTTCGCTTTAAATGCTATTAATAATATAAAGTATGATTCGAAAGAGAAATTCTTACCGGCTGTTGAAATAGGTGGTGGCGATGGTAATGATTCCTGAGACTATTGAAAAGATGTATTTTATATAAATCATTGAAAAACAAATATAAGATATAACTCACTGATTCTGATCGTAATTGTTCACGTTCGTTCGGATTTTCAGAAACTGGTACAACACCATCGTATTCTGTATCATCTGCACTATTTATAGAATATGCTGGACGTTTATTTGGTGTATTTGTTATTATCCTATTATGATCGATAGTAGAAAGTAAATGGCATCTTGAACATGGTTCTACTGGAAAAGGAAAAACGATATTTAATTTATGAAAAAAAAGTATTGCTTTTAATTACACGATGATATATAATAATATTTTAATGTTTCCAAATTACGAGTATCTTGTCGTAGTACAATATCCACTACTTTGCTTTCTTCATCCGGATATGGAAAAATTGGTGTTTTAAATGATACTATTCGATCTTTAATATTAACTTCCGAAATAGGTTGTGACCATCGACCCTTAGAAGTATCACATTCAAATGTGATTTTTAAAGCTATCAAATGTACAAAAAAAACATTGTATGAAAAAAATACTTTAGACTTTTTCCTTACGTCCATATGTTTTTGGTTCAAGTTTATTGGATAAAATAATAACAATTTCATCAATACTTGTAT